AGTGGGGGGAGGAGAGGGGAGAGAGGATTGAGGGGAGGGGAGGAAGAGTGGAGAAAGGGGGGAGGAGGAGAGGCGAGAGAAGGAGGGGAGAGGAGTGGAGGGGGGAGGGGGAGCGCAGTGGGGGGAGAGGGCGCACTCACCGACTTGCAGGTGGGTGCCAGCTTCTTGAGCAGGAACGGGATGGTGATCTGCAGCAGAGCCTCCCGGAAAAAGCGCTTCCGCACGGTGCTGCTGTCATAGTCGTATTTCTGCCAGGAAGAGCGGCCAGGGCACAGGAGCCTCTGGGTCAGGGAGCTCCACCGGTCCCTGGTCTGACCCGAGCCCCAGCGTCCCCCTGGGTGGAGGGGTGGGGCCTGGCCGGGCGGCTCACCTTCAGCACCCGCTCCAGGATGCGCTGGATGGACTTGCACAGCTCCTCCTTGGTGGGCCCCTTCCCCAGCTCCTGGTGCAGGAGGGTCTCGAAGGTGTACACGGCGTTGTCCATTTGCTGCCGGCGGGGCACACCACGGGGCACGTGAAGGGGTGCCCGCCGGGAGGAGGGGGCGCCCGTGTGCTCAGCGGCCCGGTCACTCACTTGCTCCTGTACTGTCTAGTGTGCTGGCTCAGGGCCGGGCACCGGGGCCACTCCCTGCCTCAGGGAAACAGAGGCCCTGGGCCCTGTGGGAAGGGGCTTAGGGAGCAAGAAGGGCCTCTCGGAGGAAGGGGTCTCTGAGACCCAAAAGATGAGTCAGAATTAGCCAGGGGGGCAGAGGGACAGGGTCCAAACAGACCAGAGAGCAGAGCAGCGGGGAGCACGCGGGCCGAGTGTGGCTGCAGCGAGGCTCGTAGGGATGACGAGGAGGGGGCTGGGGAGGAAGGCCACAGAGGCAGCCTCTTCCCCAGGAGATGGGGACGGCGGGGGCAGCTGGGGTAGCACCCTGGGCTCACCTCACGCATGAGGATCTGGGCTCGCTGCTTGAACACAGACGTGCTGGACACGTCAAAACGCTGCTGCAGCCCATCGAGCCGCAGTGGCTCCATCTTCTCATAGCAGCTCTGCATCTTGAGGGGGTGGTACGCCAGCTGGGACAGCTTCTCCATGTACTGCAGGGAGGCAGAGACACGCGGGACCTGAGCTGGGGCCGCCAGAGGAGCCAGGCAGCCCCCCAGCCCCTGGGCCCGGCACCCGGGAAGGCCATCCGGGGGTGGCAGTCACAAGGGCAAGCGCTGGAGGACCCGGGGCAGGAAGCATGAGGAGGATCTGAAGGCAACACAGCGTGTGGGGAGAGGCCAGCCCGGGCGCTGGGTGACCTGGGGCAAATCGCTCACCTTCTCTCAGCCTCCAAACCAGGAGCTGGTTTTTCATGATCTCTAAGGCCGTCTGTGGCTCTCAAATTCTATGATTATTATTGTCAATGGACTTCTCAGTTTGGGGTGTAGAAGACACTAAGATTACAAGACCAATTCCATCTATACCTGACAATTATGTGCGGTTCCAGGCAGCCGATGACCCCAATATGGGGTCTGTGGAAGACCGTTCACCCCGAGAACCAGAGAACTCAGAAGTGAGAGAGGCTGGCTCCATTTGTGGGGTGCACGCAGACCCTCCGTTCACAGGTTATGCCCCGGAGGGGAGCGGCCAGCCCTGATCACAGTGAGGGCCTGACGGGGGCCAGACCAAACCCAAACCCGGGGCCATGCCTGGCTCACCTCGCCCAGCTTGTCGATGCCGCCCTCATTGATGACGTTCAGGTTCATGTCGGTGACCTCCTTGAAGAAGACGTCCCGCACTTCGGTGAAGCCCTGGCTGGTGGGCACCATCAGGGCCTCCAGGATGGACGGGATATAGGGCTGGACATGATTCCGGACACACACCTCCGCCTTGGGGAGGATGGAGGCTGCACCGAGGGAGCTGGTTAGCGGATGGCATCCCCGGTAGCAACTCCCACCATCCCAGACCCCCAGGCTAGAGGCAGGCTGTCGTATTATTCTTTAAAGAAAATTAGCAAACTGAAGGATTCTTGAGGAACAGCTGACAATGCAGCACAAATAACAGGGAGTTCTGAGACTGGCCCCTGATGTTCCGGACACTGTGACGGCAAGAAACTAAGAAAACTGCTAGTGTGAAGGTCTCTAGGTTGGCAGTTTTTCTGTTTAGCTAGAGGAAGAGAACTCACCTTTGGGGGTCTTGCTCCTTCGTTTAAAAAAAAAAAAAGGAAAACACTTCAGTGGCTTCAATGAGCCTCTGGGTTTTGCAAACCCCGATTCTGCCCTGGAATGGTGTGGCCTGACTCAGCCCAACTATGGAAAAGTCTGCTTCCCTGTGGGCAGGGACCGTCTCCAAGACATTCTGACGAAGGCATTTTTTAGCCAGGGGGTGTTTTGACGTCCCTCCTTCTCCCCTGCCCAGCAAACATTATTTGTTCCACACAATAAATGTCAACTCTCGGTGTCCTCCCCAGCTCACAGTGATACAGCGGTTAGAGAATAACCCTCGGGCAACTGACAACAGTCACAACTGTGGCCAGCATGTGATGGATGACAAGTGAGTGAAAAGATCCCATCAGGCTCGGAACAGAAAGGAGCATCAGCTGACCAGGGAAAGGCTGGCTGAATGTGAATCACCAAAGTCAAGCTGATGTCGCTAAAATGACACATGGTAGATCTGATGACCAAAGATGAACAGAAGGCTTGAACCTCCTCAACGTCATTTAGGTCACCAAGATCTGAGTCTATAGAAATAACAGCTGGCAAACAACTCACAGGGGTTGGAAGAACAATGCCTCAGATTTGATTCTGGTGTTTTAAAAATAATCAATGAATTAAGTCCTTCTTGTGAAATGCAAACGGATCCCTGAAACAGGCAGGAGGGACCCCCTGACCCCGGAGGGCGGGTGGTCCCAGCACGTCCACCAGGTGATGACAGCCATAGCAGGTGGCCCTCCTACCTCGGATCTTGCTGGCCAGATGCTCCTTGGAGGTGATGATCTGGTCCATGTCGGTGCGGATGACCGCCTCCATGGCTGGCCGGGCCAGCTGCAGCTTGGACAGCACGGCCCCAAAGCGTGCCTTGGCCTGTTCATACACCATGCGGTACACGGTGTCTGAGATCTGTGGGCAGGGCGGAGGTGTCAGCGCCAGGCCGAGGGTGCCAGGCGGCTGCAGGCCTCCCACCCCTGCTCCCAAGCCCAGGCCTGCCCACCTGGATCCACTGCCGCTGTCGCTCCTGCGGTTTCCCCTTCAGCCGGGGGGCGAGCTCTGCCTTCAGCTCAGGGCCCAGCTCCTCCATCACCAGGTTGCTCAGGATCTAGGACCAGGAGGCACAGGCCGGGGCAGGGGTTGGAGCATGCCCAGCCCCCTCCATATTCCGGCAAGCCCGGCCACTCAAACCCCCCCTCAAAAAGCTGCTCTGGGCTTCCCTGGTGGCGCAGTGCTTGAGAGTCTGCCTGCCGATGCAGGGGACACGGGTTCGTGCCCCGGTCCGGGAAGATCCCACATGCCGCGGAGCGGCTGGGCCCGTGAGCCATGGCCGCTGAGCCTGCGCGTCCGGAGACTGTGCTCCGCAACGGGAGAGGCCACAACAGTGAGAGGCCCGCGCACCCCAAAAAAAAAAAAAAAGCTGCTCTTTGCTCCACGTCTCCATTGCCCTCCCTCCTAAGCATCATTCCCACAGGTCCCAGCTTACCTGCTCGGGTGTCCTGTAGGATCCTGTAGGGGCCCCACCTCAGGACCATTGCACATGCTGCCACCCTGTCTGGAAAACCACACCCTTCCCCCCTTGCCCGCACATGCAAGCGTGTGCGTTTACTTGTCAAACGTCTGTTTCTCCTTCTAGGCAGCTCCCTGAGGGCCAGGACTGCGTCCCTCCTACAGTGCCCCCCAACACCTAGTCCAGGGTCGGTGCTCAGTTAATGACTGAACAAAATAACAAGCCGCTCCCCCTGTGGGATCACCTCAGCCTCCACCCGTCCAAACCTGCAGCCAGGCTCCAGAGCCCTTGCCTGTGGCCCCGCGCTGACTTGCGCAGCCTCCCCGCCAGCCTCCATGGCCTCACCTGCACCTCGTTCCCACACAGCATCTCCCAGGTGCCGTACAGCTCCTTGGACTGGCGGTACATGCGGATGGCGTCAGTGAATGCGGGGCCCTCCACCTTGGAGTCCTCGGGGATCCCTGCCCGGGAGAGGGATGTAGAGAGGAGGTCGGTAGGATGGCCTGTGCCCTCCACCGAGACCAATGGGTTGACTGCCCAAACTCCCCCCACCTCTGACCCCCACAGCTCTTGTAGTAAGAGCATCAGTAGTTGTTGCAGTGACAGTAACGATAAGAACCCACCAGCAGCAGTGGACAGTAAGACAGCCCTGCTCTGTATCCTCATCTCCTTCAATCCTCCCAACCAGCCCGAGCTGTGGGCACTGTCGTTTCCTCTGCTTTTCCAGATGAAGAAACAGGCTCCGAGGTCAGGCCACTGCCGAGGGGCCAAGGCCAGTGAGCAGCAGAGCCAGGACCAGAAGCCACCACCACCACCAAGGAGAGGCCACCCAGCATGGCAGACGGCATACCAGAGGCACCCAGAGACCCTCCCTCCACCAGGGGCCTGCCAACTTCCCCCGCAAAGGGCAGGACAGTAAACAGTCTCAGCTTTGTGGGCCAGACGATCTCCGTCCCAGCCATTCAACCTGCCGTTGTAGCAGGAAAGCAGCCGCAGGCAGTGTGTGAACAAACGAGCCGATAAAACTGGATTTATTAAAATAGGCGACGAGCCCAATTTGCCTCATAGCCTCGCTGCAGGTCATTGAACCCTAAGGGACCTCAGTTCTCCCTTCTGAAGAGTGGGAACAATGACCAGCCTGGCCTCACACACCCACTGTGGGGCTGCAGGGACCACAGTGTGGACTGCGGAGGCAGGGCCCGGGGGCGGGCCCAGCGGGCACCACGTCGCACTTTACTAGTAATGCAGCCACGAATGGCTCCGGCTGCCCTGGGTCCGCCTTGCTCACCACCGTGCATCCAGGGGGCTGGAAATACCACTTCTCACTCTTGTCAGTGATGGTGGCGGTGGTGGCCCAGATGAGTTTGCCCACCTCCCCCGTGCTGGCGAAGGGGTCAGTGAACAAGGCATGGGCCTCAGACTGGGCGCTGGGGAGGCAGGCTGCAGGAAGTCGCAACACCTGACTTCGGGACGAACGTGGTTAAACACCTCGCAGCCAGCGAGCTGGCGGCTACCCTGGCCACGAGCCTCTGACCGCTGTGTCCCCAGAGCCAAGGGAAGGGGAAATGGCAGCCAGTGCCTCCGAAACCCCGACCTCCACTGCAGTGACTACGGGCTGAGTCACCCCCCCAGAGAAGAAGCCCCTCTCTGGCGTGGGGAGAACCCCTCCCCCTCCACATCCGCTGACCCAGGAATCACACTGCCTGGTGGGGCTGGAAGAGAGCTCAGAGGTGGGGAAACTGAGGCCCAGCCCCAGCCCTGCAGTGGCAGCTCCGTGGACCGGGATGGGGGCGTGAGGGGCGTCTCACCCTGCATTTCAGGGACCTGAGATGAGGAGGGAGTGACAGGGGCAGAGCAGGGGTGTCCCAGCTGGGGCGCCGCGCAGAGCCCTGGGGTGGGTGCTGCCCAGCTGGGCCAGGGGAGGAAGCCCCTCAGGCTTAAGGAGGTGCACCGTCTCCCAGAGACCAGGTTTTGCCTAGAACAATCCAGCCATGCGCTATATGCAGCCTTTCTCACACTGGGGCATTTACAGTCTGCAGACGGCAAGCCGGGTGTACCCGGCAGGGTCGCTCTCCAGGCGGCAGGACGCTGAGCCAGAGGGCTGGGCAGCAGGAAGGAGGCCGCCGATGCCGCCTCAGACCCTCAGGACGTCCCTACTCTGCTCACCGAGTGGCTGAATCAAAAGGGCAGGTGACCCCTCCCGAGCTCTTCCCCTGAGCCTGGCTGTGAGGGGCTGAACTGTGTCCCTTCAAAGTCCTATGTTGAAGTCTCGACCCCCAGCGCCCTCAGAATGTGACTGACTGCAGACAGGGACTAGAGAGGAAATTAAGTTAAAACAAGGGGCTCAGGCTCGGCCCTGATCCCATATGTATGGCTGGTGTCCTCAAGAAAAAATCTGGACAAACTGCGCACACAGAGCGGGGACTGTGTGAGGACACAGGGAGAAGGCAGCTGCCTGCTGGTCAGGAAGAGACACCTCGGAAGAAAACAGACCTGCTGACACCTGGATCTCGGGCTTCCAGCCTCCAGAACTGTGCAAAAATAAATTTCTGTTGTTTAAGCCGCCCAGTCTCTGGTCCCGTGTTACGGCAGACTAAGGCTGAGACCGCACACGCATTCCCACACCCCGATGAGGAAACGGGCTCAGGGAGGCAAAGTCACTGGCTCGAGGCCACACCGCTAGGGAATGGCAGCCCCAGGGCCTGAACCCAGACTGGCCGACTCTAGCGAGACCTGGAGACTTCCTGCCTGTGGGGTCCTCAGGGTCAGGCTGAGAAAGGAAGCTACATTCCTCAGGCCTGGACAGCAGGCAGACAGGAAGAGGCCTTGACCTCTGCACCCCAGGCCCAGCCCGAGGGGGCAGCTCCGTGCCCCGCTGCCTCTAGCTGCCCCAGCTGCTCCGGGAATGCAGGATGTGGGCGGGGGCCAGACGAACTGTGTCCACCCAGCTCGGCCTCCTTCCCCAGCCACCCCCCACTTCCTGGCAGCCCCTGGAGTGAGCAATTCCAGGCCCTGCAAATTCCAGGCCCAGCCCCCGAGGAAGCCGAGAACTTTCCCACAGTCCTCAGGGTGGAGGAAAGGCTCCTCCAAAACCACCCTGTCAGCTCCCAACACCTTGCGGCCACAGGACGCCTCTCCCCCCGCCCCAGCAGCTCTCCCCGGCCTCCCCTCCTGCCCACAGGACCCACACCCATAGCCCTCAGCCTCCTGGCTGAGCGCTCGCTATGTGCTAGGCATGGGGCCAAGAGCTCTACCCAACCCAGCTCATGTATTCCTCCCCACGATCCAGCAAAGCTTATCACAACTGCCATTGTGCGCACGGGGAACCGAACGGCGGCTCTTCCCCACCTGGTCTGTCCCCACCCGGCCTGGCCTGGGGTCACCTGGCCAGGTCTGCCATTAGCCTTGGAAACCTTCAGAGGGAGGAGCTGGGCCAGGGAGGGGGGAGGAGGAGGGACGGTGCCCCAGGCCAGGCAGCCGGAGCCCAGATCGCCTCGGCCCGGTCCTGGCCCCTCAGCCCCCGGGGACCTGGGAACAGGAGGCTCTTTGTCGGCGGCAGGGGCTGGCCTGACTAAAGACCTGGTTCCTGCCGCCCGGCAGATTCCAGCTGGGGCAGAGGCAGCCCTGGAGAGCGGAGAGGACAGGGGACAGGTGGGGTGAGCCGAGTCACCGCACAGCCACCTCCAGGCGTGGGTGCCCACTGTCCATCCAGCGGGTGGAGCTGCGCCCCAGGCATGCCAGGCGGGGAGAGTAGGGCAGAGGCAAGGGCAGGGCAGGAGCAGCAGCCTCCCTCTGCTGCCCAGAGGCCAGGTCACCGGGAAGGAATTTCAGGGTCCAGGATAGGGTTGCTCCTCCCATTAGGGCAGAAAGCCCCTCATGCCCCACCCCTCCGGCTGAGAGACAATCACAAGCCTTTTTGATCAAACTCCTTAAAGCCCTACAAGGCCCTCCAGACCTGACCCCAGTGCCCCCTCCAGGCCCATTTCCAGGCACCCCCTCCCCACTTCAGGGTCTTGTGTATCCTCCTCTAAACTGCCCACACCCCTGGGCCTCTCTTCATGCTTGCTGCGACCTCCGTCTGGAACTCACCTCCCTCTGCTCTAGAACTATGCATCCTCCAGGTCTCAGCTGAACCCCGGCCTCCTCAAGGAAGCCCCCTGATCTACCCCTCCCCACACACAGGATCAGCACCCCCCAATACATACACACACTCCAGGTTCCCCAGGTGGCTCCCACCCGGCACCCAGCACAGCTGTGACTCATCGCCCCCTGGAGTCCTCATCTGTTTAACATCTGTCTCCCCGCCAGGCTGCCGGCAGCACGGGGACAGGGGCCATGTCTTGCTTCCCTGCTGCATCCTCAGTGCCCAGCCCTGGGTCTGGCTCAGAGACATTAAAAGGTTTGTTAAGTGAATGAGTGACCTGGGAGAGACCTTGTAACTTTGCAGACAGGGACAATGAGACCCTGAGGGAGGAAGGGAACTTCCCAGACCCGGGTCCAGGTCCCTGAGAAGAAAGCAACGGTAGCATAAAAAAATCTTTACCAAGCGTTGAGTGGATGCTCACTGTTCACAAACCCTCTGAGACCCAGGAGACATTATTATCCCCATTTTACAGAGGCTTCAAAAGGTAAGTTGGTCTCCTAAGGTCCTGTTGCTGGAAAGTGGCAGAATCAGGATTTTTATCTTGTGACCCAAGGGCTCAACAACTGCATCCCTCTGAGAACAATATCCCAAATCCTGTTTAAGAGCATCACAGAACTGTTTTCATCAAGGAAGAAGGTGAGGGGCAGCAGGACAGTGGTTTCGAACAACCCCAGAAGGAAACGCAGAACAGCTCATAGAGCAGGGTGGCCACACCGTACTCAGCCACTAGGTGTCACCACTCAGCACATAATCCACGTAACCCCGCTCCCAGCTCCTGGTGCCTAAAGGCGGCTCACCATTGTTGCAGTGCCGGACGCAGTCCTGCAGGACAGCCTGCCACTTGTCCTGCTCAGCTTCCGTCATCATGCAGAAGTAGTAGTGACGCGCAGAAGGATGCCAGAGGATGAGCGGGAACTGCGTGGGGCACTTGAGGACGGGGGCAGTGCCCGATTTTGATGTGTTCCCTGTGGAGACAGTGCCCTCTGAACAGCTGCCCTCTGTGGCTTCCCTCGGCCAGAGGACGCCAGCAGCTGACCCCTCGCCCTACCATGAGGGGCAGGCTCAGGTCCAGAGAGAGCTGGCCTGTCCCGGGGTGACCAGAGAGTCAGTGGGGAGGCCACTTCCTTCTCTCTTGCTCCACAGCCTGGCTAAAGGAATGTCAGACTCCCCCAGCACCATTTCTCAGAGCTGGTAATGCAGCCACCTCCCTGGGGTCAGGTTCTAAACTCTGTGCATGAGGCACAAATAACACAGGGTCAGAGCCCTCAGGGTCAAAGGCCAAGCATTACCTTCTTGGGTTTCCCTTCAAATTTCAGCAGCAGAGGCCAAAGTGTGGCTTAAATGTCCAAGGGGGGAGGGAGGTATGGATGTGGGAGATAGAGAATAAATAAAAGGGGATTTTTCTCTCTCTGCTTGGTCCGCATGGATATTCGAGATCCAGCGAGATAAGTGGTCCTGGGCTGTGACCTTGCCACCCCTGTTAATAACAGGACAATGGCAGTTCTTCTCTGGGCCCTGGCTCTGGGTCCCTGTGCTCAGCTCAGCACACACAGCACCTCATGGGGTCTACATAGCACCCCAAGGTCAGCCCTCTCAGTGCAGGGGCTGGAACCCAGGAAAGCCAGACTCCAGCTGAGCCCTCAGCCACCAAGTCCCACACAAGGGTAAAAGCTGCCCCCACAAGGCCAGCATCTCCCTTACCCCTTGGTCTCCCTGGGATCATCTAAGAGGCAGATGTCATCCCACAAGTTTTCTGGGTGTCTCTCATGGGGTGGGGTCGCCTAGGATAGCTCCTTACAAATGCGGTATTAAAAAAAAAAAAAAAAATGCGGTATTGACTCAGCAGTTTACAAATTGGGGCACCTGGATCACCTTCTCCTGGAAGCCTCTCGGGGACCCAGGGAAGAGGCAGGGTAGAGAGAGGTCCCCCTGCACAGCTGTGACTGCCTGGGTCAGGAAGCAGGGGCTCGGGTGGGGCAACCCCAACGCACTATGTGGCCACAGGAAAACCCCTCTCAGGCCTCCCTTTGGAGGCTCAGGTTGTGCCGGGCACCTGCGGCTAGCTCTAGGCCCAGCTGGTTTTCCTGCAGGTGTGGAGCCTGGAGCTCCAGGAGCAGGGGCGCCCTCTCCCCTGGACAAATCCCTGGGTGCTTCGCCTGGGATGGGTGGTCCTTTACCTGGTAAGGAGTTGCCAACAAGCTCCAGGTACTGGTCCAAGGAGGTGAGAATTTTGTAGCCCGCACTGTTGATGACAGCTCGGGGTGGGACCTGCCGCTCATAAGCCTGAGGAGGGGGCAAGAGAGATGGTCCCTGGGGGTTACGTGTATGGCCAAGCCCAAACCCCGTCTCCATCCCTGGCTCCAGGGCCCCACTCAGTGTTGCCTGCCCCAGTCAGGGAAGAGGAGGAGGAGAAGGAAGAAGGGGAGGAGGGGGAGAGAGGACTTTGACCACCACCATGACTAGAGGCAACATGGTGTAGTGACCTGGACCCAGGGTCTGGGCTCAAATCCTGACTCCACTGAGTTCCGTCTGTGTGAGGCCAAGGATAAGCACCTCCTTTGCTTTAGTTTCCTCATCTATAAAACCAGTGTAATATAACAGTTCCTACCTCACAGGGCTGCACGAGGGCCCAGTGAGATAATCCACATAACGCATAGCGCACTGCCTGGCACAGCAAGGGTCAGGGAGCACGGCTGAGGTGACTGTTATTATCACCACTGCACCTACGGTCTCTACGAGCAGCAGCTGCCACTAGCCGAGTGCTCATTACATGTCAGGCACTGTGCTACGGTCTCTGCATGCTTCATTTCACAGAATTCTCACAAGCCAGAGGTGGGTACCATTATTAACCCCAAGTTCACACCGCTGGTAAGGTAGCCGACCTGCACGCGAACCTGGTCTGTCAGCCCCTAGAGCCCAGGGTCTTTGACCATTTCCCTGAACTGTCCACTAACTTCCTAAGTCCCCTTGGGAGGAGAATGAGGATTGGCCGCTGCTTTCTTACACCCCTGGGGAGAAAAAATAGTCCTGATGTAGGAGCTCATACAGCAGGGGTGCCATGCTGCACTCAGCCACTAGGTGTCACCACTCAACACATTCCTTAAGAGTGGCTGGAACCTCCAGGGCAATGGTTTTCAAAGTGTGGTCCCTGATTAGCAGCATCAGTGTCACCCTGGAACTTGTCAGAAATGCATATTCTTGGGCCCCCTCCAGACCTGAATCAAACTCAGGGTAGGCCCAGCAACCTGTTTTTTAACAAGCCCTCCCGGTGAGTCTGGTGCATCCCTCAAAACAGAGGGCACTCAAGCCTGTCCTTCGGCTGTTCGGCAGAAATGTCTGGTAGAAGAAGGGTCTGTGGCTCAACCAGGTGGGGCTTCCCTAAGGGCCCAAAGCAAAGGAACAATCGAAGGACACCCATCCCCCCACTGCAGGGCACAGAGTTGCAAGGGGGGGGCATCAGGAAGGAAACAGATAGGACCACCACCCAGGGGTCCTCTGAGGCAGGGAACGGCCAGTTAGCTGCTGCTGTTGAAGAGCAAGGAAGGGAGGGGCTGGGGAGCAGCAGGAAGCCCAGGCGGGAAGGTGGCTGAGGGCGAGGAGGGCGCTGGAAATGGAGAGATTCGGAGGGCCTCGGGGGTGGGCAGGAGCCAGCAACGCGTGGCCAATGGGGGGAGAGGCAGAGTGAAAGGGGACCCCAGAGAGCTGGGTGCCTGGATGGATGAAATGCCGCTTAGAGAGGGCAGGCAGCACAGCAAGGTATGGGGAGGCCGGAAGGGGTGGGGGGAGGCTGCTGAGGTTCTGCTGGGGCCCTGGCAACAGCCAGCGGGGGGAGGAGGGGGGGGATGGGGGGAGGGGGGGAGGGATGCGGGTGGAGGTACGGAGTCTCAGGCTTAGGAATGGGGGCCGTGCAGCATCAACTAGTGTAGAAGACAGCAGGCCAGGGGAGGCTGCGGAGAAGGGGAAGAAGCGGCCTGGCCAGGCCTGGGAGAAGCTGGGATGGGCTGGGGGCCTCACCACTTTGTTCTCGTAGAGCACCAGCCCATAGTTGTGCGGCACGAGGCTGAAGCGGTTCCTCCACTTCTTGCTGTCCTCCTGGTACTGGAAGAGGTTCCCCGAGAAGATGATGCGCTCATCCAAGGGCACCTATGGGAGGGAAAGGGCAGGGAGTGAGGCCCAGCACGGGAATGGGGTCCTCCGAGAAGGTGAGCACGTCCTCCATCCTGACCTCACCAAGGCCCCCGAGGCAGGGCTGCATGACACGCATTTGGCAGATGAGGAAAGTGAGGCTCAGGGCAGTGAAGGGGGCCCCACTGGGGTCCAGGAGGATCAGAGGTGATGCCAGGACTTGAACCCAGGCCAGGCACCACAATACCGGACCCAGACAGAATCCCACCCCATCCTGGCCCCAGGCAGACACAGCTGCCTCGGGACAGGTCTCTAGAGCACGAGGCAGGCTGCTTCCCCATCCACCCCCACTGCAGCGTGGGTGTGCAACAGTCACTCCAGCCGGAGGGGACGTGCCCACCGGCCAGCACTGGTAAGGCCCCAGCACCTGGGCAAATCTCTTTCCAGCTCTGGGCCTGTTTCCCCTTGGGGCAACAAAAACCTGACCACGGTGGCTCCATAGAGCCTCCCCAGTTCCGACGGCTGACAAGATGGTCTCCACGAATCTGGGTGGGAGAGGAGGGGACCTCAGCCTGGAGGGTTCCCGTCTGACCAGCATCCTGGAGGACTAGTGGCCAGTGTGGGCAGCAGAAACGCCCAGACCTTCCTGCAAAGCCCTAGCTTTGACTCGACCACTGACTCAGTGTGACTTCAGCCCTGTCACATCACTTCCCTGAGCCTCAGTTTCCTCATCTGTCAAATGGGACGGTGACAGCACTGACTTCACCGAGGTATCTCAAGGATTCTGTGCAAAGATCACGCAGGCAGTCGGCACCTGGCAGGCAGTACGATACGCGGAGCCACCATGACCACTATTGGGGTTACTGTCAGTGTCATTCTCCAGCTCCCCAGGCTGACTTATTTGGGGAGGGGGAGGGGTGACTTGTTTCAGGAGGGGGAGGGGTGACCGTCCCAGAGCGAGTGCTTCCTGAGCAGACCCGCACTGGGAAGCTTCAGGAAAGGAGAGACAGAGGCCACAAGGGAGCAGCCCTCCTCCTGGATGGGAGGAGCTCGGGGAGTCAAGTGTTCCTGTTTCTCAGCAGCTTCTAGCTGTTCTACAACAGATACGGTGCCTTCTGCAAAAAGAAACATACATCGTGTGTAATAAAGGGAGAGAGTATTGATATTGTCCTAATGGTGCCTAACCCTTGCTAGCTTCCTCGCTCTGCTTCTGGGTCTGCCCCGCAGCTGGAGTCAGAGGTGAGCGGCCCCTCCCCAGGCATCCTCACCCCCCAGCCCTCTCCCTTCACACGCAGCCTCCTCTCCCCAGCAACTCCTCAAGGGGAAATGCCAAAACGTTCTTGGAAAATGAGGGTCTATTGTGCTCAAACAATGGGCCCCCGAAGACTGCTTCCTACCCAGAGATAAAAATATTTACAGGAAAAGAAAACGGTTTCCCCTACCATGCACCTCCCCCCACACACACACACAGAGTGGGCTTTGCCCAAGTCACAAAGCTGGGCTCAGTGGTCTATATTTAGACTGGGGCCTACTCTCAACCCAGCTCTTGAATCCCCATCTCTCCTAGAAAGGAAAGAGCAGACAGAGCTCTCCCGACACCCTGGTCAGACCCTCACTCCCACCCCCAGGCCCCTGGTCTGCAGTCCTCCCCTCTGCTTAGAGCCAGAGCCCAGGCTTGGGCAGTGGGAGGCTGAGGGCACAAGCTCACCACCCAGGCGGGCCTGCCCGGGCGAGTGGGGCTCAGCAGCGTCCCCAAGTCCACCCCTAGATCCTGGGACAGCCCGTAATGGGTAGGTGGTGTGGGTTTGGGTTTTATTTTTAAGACTTTCAAATGGCAGAGTCACATGTCCACAGGGAGGTCTGCAGGAAACGAAACGGAACCCGACAGCCCAGGCCAAATATTTTGGACTCTGCAAAGCTCTCTGATGGCAAGATGGGCATCTTCGGTAAATGGTTAGAGCACAGTCCCCAGGCTCCGACAGCCCGAGTTCCAGTCCCAGCACCACGGCCCACAGCACGGGAGCCCAGACAGGTGACTCCACCTGTCCAAGCCTCAGTGCCCACATCTGGGATGGGGATGGGACTAAATCTCAATCCCTCCGAGCAGTGTCGTACTGGCTGTATGAGCAGTGCCCACACAAAAAGGACTGCTGTTTTTATTACTACCATTACTTGTATTATTATTAATTGTATTGTTATTTATTGTATTATTCTTTCTTTTTTTTTTTTTAAGAGGAAATGTCATTTATTTACTTACTTACTGATTTATTTACTTGCCACATCTTGCAGCATGTGGGATCTTACTTCCCCGGCCAGGGATCGAACCCATGTCCCCTGCCTCGGGAGCACAGTCTTAACTACTGGACCGCCAGGGAAGTATCCCTGTATTATTATTTCCACCAAAACAATGTATGTGATAATGATGATGACTTCTAGTACTATACTGTTATCATGACTTAGCCTCACTTTACTGAATGACAAAATGGGACCAAAGATTCCTCCTTTTCAGGGATTGTGGGTGATTTCATCTTACTCTTCCTGCTTACATGTTACTTCTGTTTTCTTACCACAAATACTCAACCTTGTGGGTGTCAAAGGCGTTTCTCATGCAGAGTAAATGCTTAGCGCGTCAGGGAACCCCATTTCTGTCTTAGGTTATTGGGACCCAGGTTGCCTGTGACATTTCCTTCCAAACAGGGGAGCCATTCCAGTTCTGCCCACTGGAAGCCGCTCACCTGGGCTGGGTCCAAGGCCATCTTTCCTATTACACAGGTGTGCTCCTGCCAGATACCCAGGCCAGGCCACATCTGCTGCCACAGGGTCAGGAGGTTGCCATGACATCAGGAGACCAGACAGTCTTTTCTGGGCCCCAAATCAAAGGGAGGTGTGATGCTCTGAGAGGCTCTGACACACAGCCCTGACCTCCCCTCCACCCCAGGCAGGCTGGGGGGTCAAGACAGAAAGAGACTTTGGTCAGGAATCTGGAACCTGGCTTGAATCCTGCTTCCACCACCCTGGGCCAGCCATTTAAAGGCTCAGTTTCGGGCCTCTGCACCTGCCATTCCCGTGGTCTGATATTCCTTCTCCCATCAGGTCTTCCCCTGAGATGGCCCTTCTTCCAGGAAGCCCTCTTGGGCCACCCAGACAAGTCAGGCCCCACTGTCTGAGTCCACCCTGTCATCTCCTTCACAGCGCCCACTTTATCGTGTAAAGGGCTGTTTACTGTCTCCCTGAGTGTCTGGGGGCAGCAAGGGCAGTGTGGCCCCAGCACCTGACCCGTCACAGTCAGTGTGTGTCCCGAGTTGGGGGCCTGTCTCTCGGCGGAATCCTTTAGTCTCAGTGGCAGCTCTCCCACTCCACTGACTTGACGCCTCCAGCCGTTCCTGCTGCTGCGATGACACCAAAGGGTCACAAATGCTCAGAGCCGGTCAAGTGATGCGGCCCCGCCCCCTGGTCTCATGATAAACAGGCACATCTTTAGGCACTTGGTTTTGGGGGAGGGCGGGGAGTGGAATGAAACAACTCCCAGCGCGGGGCCTCTGCGGGCTCTTCCTTCTGCACACCCCGCTATGCCCACGCCCCTGCCCACACTGTTCCCCCTTCCAGAGACGCCTTCCCAATAATCCGAATCCCACCTAGCCTTCAGAGCGCCATGCGATGCCCACCCCCTCCACAAAGCTGCTCTCTCCTCTGGCCCATGACTCTTCCCTCTGGGCACCATTTCACAGACAGAAGAACAGGCTCAGCAAGGTTACCCAGCAAGTGGGGACTCCCACCCCCATTTGTTCTCTCACTGAATCCGCATCCTCCTCTGTGCAGGAGGTGCCCATCTGGCAGATGAGGAAACAGACTTGAAGCTTACATCAATGGCCCCGGCCACCAGTTAATAAAAGGATTTGAACCCAAGGCCCCCCCGAGTTCTTTCCCACCAGACCACGGGGTTCCAGCCTCCATCCCTCAGCTACAGCACTGCCCCCGGCCCCTCGAAGCCTGAGCACAGGATGACCCGGGCAGCCCCGAAGAAGGCGACAGGACTGGGGGCGGAAGCTTGGCGAGGCGAGCAAGGGCGACTTCACAGCCCGCCAACCATGGAAATCAGCCACGAATGCCCCGAGCCCCAGGCACTGGGGTTGGCTGGTTGACCAGTCTGATCCCCAGAGAGAAGCCGCTGGGCGCTCTGCCAGGGGCCACCAGCCAGGAATAAGTAGCCTCTGGGCTGCCACTCAGCCACTCCAGGGCCGGTACACCTGCAGAGGAGGGGGGCTGGCACCCTTCCTTCTCATCACCCCTCCCTCTGCCACCTGCCCGGCCATCCAGTGGGCAGAGGGTGAAGGTCACTGAAAGGGAATGACCCAAGTAATGGGACGTGCAGTGCCCTCAAACAGGACTTCCCTGGGCTGACACAGGGCCCCTGCAGCACCCCCAGAGGAGCAAGGGTTGGCCTCTCACCCCACGTGCTCAGACCCAGGCCTGGCGACTTCCAGCCGGGAACCCAGAGCCCCACCAGTGCCCCGGCTATCCCCTCACTTCCTCGGCGCCATTCCCATCCCCGGCCCCATGCCAGGGCCGACCACAGGATCCCCTCCCCAGGAGGCTCTCCACCTCGTCCGGCCCATGCTGACCCCCAGGCTGGAGCCAGGCAGCTTCCAGTCCTCACTGGACAAATATTTACTGTGCAAACATAATCCTACCACTGATAGTGGGATAATGACAAGGCCAGGGATGATGACAGTGTCAGCCAGCACCCGCCCAGCCCCAGGCACCCAGCCGACAAATCTCTAATCCTCACAGCCACCAGGTTCGGGAGGTGTGCTCATCTGGGTTTACAGATGAGCACATGAGGCTCCACAGGTGAGGTAATAGCTCGCGGGCACACAGAGTGTAAGAGAAGGAGCTGGGCTTGGACCAGGCCTGTCAAGATGACTCAGAGCCCCAGCTCTGCTGACGAAGGGGCTGGCCCGGGGGAGTCGCCCACGGTGCTAAAAGGACCTCGACACCACCACCAGGTCACCTGCCTATTCAGAAGCCGGGTGCGGCCCTTAGAGACCATCCAGCAACAATGGGAAACAGAGGCCATGGAGGCCGCCCTGCCCCTGGCCCAGCGCCTCTCACCTTGCGCCAGAGCAGCTGGGCCTGTGGCGCCCCGGTGCCCTCGATCTCGTGTCGCATGCTGTTGAAGAGAGCCACACCATACTGGTCCTCGTAGAAGCGGAGGAACTCCGTCAGGATCTTCCCCGTTTTCTCTGCAAGGGAGGGACAAAGGGGCCATGAGGTTGGTGCAGTTGTTTCCGGGCAGCAACCCTGCCCCAGGGAGGGGCACCCGCCTTGCCCCAAATCCCAGTTCATAAAATTGTCCGCAGGAGCTCCGTGTTTGCATCTGCACTGCATTCCTGGCAGGGGTGGTGCATTTCCCACACACGTGGGTGAGCCTCTGGGCGGGGAAAAGGGCAATGACCCTGACAGAGAAACCACCAAAGACACGAGAAACCAACAGACATGTGAAAAGACGCTCGGCCTCACCAGCCAGCGAACAAACGCAAGCAGAACCAAGATTCCGTTTTCCCCTGTCAGACCAGCCAGGACCAGCCAGGACCAGCCAGGACGAGAACAGGCACCTTAACCAGAACTGGGGGAGTGGGAAGTTGGGACGGCCTTTTTGGAGGGGGACCACAGCTGCATGCAGTTCCAAGGGTACATGGGTGCCCTTTGATGCTGTACTTGCTCCTATAGGAATCCAGCCCACAGAACTCACACAACGACAGCAGGCATCTATGCACCAGAAATCACCAGAAACAAGCCAATTGTGCACGTGGGGAATGATTCAACACCTAGCAGTTCACCCAGGACGGTCAGAAGATTAAGGGGACATGGGTACAGGTACCAACAAAGGGAAGGTGTCCGTACTCGGCCACGTAAAGAAAACAGTGCTACGGAATCCCACACTGCATATCATCTCATTTAAAATTATTCCTGCATGTGCCTATGAGTTATTTATGCTTGGAGACCTCCAGAAAGAGGTCCGGAAGGCAGCACTCCAGGCTGTTAAGGGCGGCGCACCTGGGTGTGGGAATGAGAAGCAGAGAGCAAATTTCAGTTTCTGCTTTATTCACTTGTATAGCATTTGAACTATTTTATGAGCATGATTCTTTTCACAATAAAAAAATAAACATTCTAAAATCAACTCATCTACCAAGTTAACAACCCCTTTGCTTTCACTGGCTCTTTGCTTCTCTCTTCGGCTAAAGCATAGAGAAGGAGAGTACTGGGGCACCAGAGCAAGCCCAGCACATGCCGCCTGGGTGTCCCCATTCACAGACGAAGAAACTGAGGTCCAGAGAGGGCTGTAACCCATGCCGAGGGCGCCTTCTCCTTGGCCAAGGCTTCCCGGTCCTGAGTAGCTGCAGCTCGAGTCCTGCCCCGGGGTTCGTGCTGACCCACTATGCGGCTCCCCTCTCTGGGCCTGTTTCCCCCTGCACACCGTGAGGACCAGACTCAATAATGGACAGGCCCTACCACCTCGGACAGTCTTGGATTCCAGGTTCCAAAGACCTGTTCCTTTCTCAGAGGAGAAGGGGCTGAAGTGACGCCGTCCCCTCCCATGGCTGGCCTCTGGATACCAAGGGCACCCAGCTAGGACAGCATTTCCTTTAATCCTCTCAATAGCTCTACGGGGTACGGCTGGTGTTATCCCCAGTTACAGAGGACACCGAGACTCAGAGAGGTTAAGTCATGGCACAAGGTCACACAGCTAGTGAGTGGCATAACTGGAATGCAGTCCTGAGGCCCAGCCAGGAGGTGGTAGCTGGGGAGGGAGGCTGAGAGCAGGTGCCACATCCCACACCTAGGGTCTCGGGCAGGCCCACTCCCTCCACTCCTTCCAGAGGCGGCTCAGCCCATGGGTCCCTCTCCACAGGCCTGTGCTCCCCTTTCCTGGAATGAGCTCATGTCTGTTCAGATTCTGTTTGGGGGGGAGGAAGGGGAGAACAAATGAGGAATTTGCTTTGAATGCCTATTTTTTTAAAACTATAAACAACCAGAACTCTCTCAAACACCACGGGAATTGTTTTGAAAAATGATGAGGCGGGCTGGGGGTGGGGGAAGACGAGGTAACGCACTGGAGCCAAACAGAGAAAACAGGACCGTAGACAACAACAATACTGATAAAACATGTAATCGTCATCATAATCGCTCTCTTTTACTGAGTGCTAACCCAAGCCAGTGGGTGGGCACGTTTCACATGCAGGATCTCAAAGAATCTTCACAAAAACCCTAGGGAGTCAGTGTTATTGTTTTCCCATGTTAAGGATGGGGAAGCTTGCAGACCCAGCATTGGAGAGCCAGGTTCTCAGCCTCCAGCCCAGGGTTTTGCCCCAGCTCTGCCTCAAACAGCCGGACAGCCAATGGGCACTGTCCCAGCACGCAGCATGGGTAGGCTTGGCCCTCGGATCTCAAGGGTCCTTCAGCAACAGCTCTAGGATGCCTGACTCAGCCCTGATGCACCCAGCCTCAGACACAGCACTACTTCCAGAAGGGCTAGAATATGCCCTGATGCGAGGGAAGCCAGGCCCAGGAGGAAGCCGCCATCCTGTGTTGGGACTCAAACCCAGGTCTGTCTGACTCCCAGCATGTTCTCAGCTGCCGGGTCAGCTAAGCCCAGGCATCACGTCCTGCCAGGGAAGGGCCCAGCCAGAAGGCCCAGGCATCGCCCCATCGAGGGGCACACCGAGGCCCACGTTGGGCAGGACTGTGGGTTGAAGAGGAAGCCAGGGGAGGCCGAGGAAATGAAAGAGAACGAGGTGACCCAGATGGAGACAGAAAACGAAGGTGAGACTGACAGGCCTGATGCATCCAGGCTGACAGGGGCAGAGTAGGAGGCGAGAAGGAAATTCATTCTTGGCCTCTCACGTCGGGATGCGGAAGAGTTTATCCAAGTGATGCTGTGGGACCAGGGTCCAGGAGTAGAGGGCACGAGGAGTGGGAGAGGAGAAGTCACCCGGCAGAGGGTGGAGAGGGGACAGGGTACAGAAATATGGGTTGCCTCGCTCAAAGGAGTAGGAAACGAGAAGACAGCCCCATGGGCGCTGCGCCCCCAAACAGGCTGCAGCAGCCCTGATCTCACCCAAGCGCCACCACAGGCATGCCTTGCTACCCAAACTCGAGAACCGTCTAGACCTGGACCTGCTTTCAGATAAACTCTTTGCTACCGGAGATTCCAGAACCAAACAGATCAGACAATGTGGGGTCTCTCAGTACCCCAATCTGCTCTCCAACCTGGGAGCCAAATGGATTGGGATAGGGAGGGAGGCTGGTCTCTAAGGACTGCGTGCCCACCCCACGCCACGCCCCAGGGGCTGCGGACGCTGCCACCCGCCCGCTGGGTGAGAGGTTAGGGGCCACAGGAGGAGGGTCCCGGCAGCGCCAGGGAACTGGGTAGCTCAGCTTGGGTTTGGCAGCAGAGGGAGCGCTGGAAAGGGAAGACCGTGACGGAAGAGGGCCGCGGGATGGCTTCTTGGCAGCCAGGAGCACATTCTTGAGAGATGTCCTAAGACAACTTGGGAGGAACTGCCACGTGCTGGTACAGAGGAGGTGCCACAGGAAGGCAGAGGATGACGACTCGGGGGGCTGCGCAGGGGGGCCTAGGTGTCAGGGCTGGAAAGACCTCGGAGAGGCAGGGAGGGGAGGGGGTCCAGTCCCCTCCAGGAGCAAAGGGCTCCCAGAGGAGGAGCCCCGAACAGTCCCCCAGCAGCCTCTCTGGTCAGACGCTGCGGAGGAGGGCGCAGGCGGCACTGCAGCCCTGGAGAGGCACCTCCTGCCTGCTGAGCTCGGGGGCCACGGCCCAGGCAGCCCCCTCCCTGCAAGGCCTGCTCAGCACCCCACTCTCTCCCTCCTCGCCACCCTGCAGCGGCGATCTCCCTGGAGCTGCCAGAGGGGTTTAATGACTCGAATCCCACCACGCGTCCCTGCCTGGGTGTCCACGGGTGGTCCCCGAGGCCTCAGGCGCCCCTCTCTCCTCCACACCTACCTGTACCAGCTCCTCCTGCCTCTTCCCAAGGCTTCGGGAGACACCACGTGCCAGGGATTCGGGGCCTCATCAGCCCAAAGGGGACTGTGAGCCAGAGAGGGTGAGGGGCTCACCTGAGGCCGCAGAGCCAGACCGAGGCAGTCAGGGTTCTAGCCACAGCCTGCTGACCCCCTCCTGGTCCCGGCTCTGACCACTGTCCAAAGGGCCCCACAGGGCATCCCTCCTCGCAGCGGGCAGAGGAGAAGTAGGTTGTGGCCCCTCTCCAGAGGCAGGGCCGACTGCAGGGGTCCCTGGCCCGGGAACTGGGAGGCCCTGGCTAGTTGTAGCGACGCAGTTGCTGCTGGGAGCTACGGAGAGGGACTGGGCTGGAGCAGTCTGAGGATGAGTGCCGGCCTCACCCACCCTCCACACTTTCTCACACATCCTCCCTCCTTTCCTGCACTCAGACCCAGATGCTCTAGGATAAGAAGGTAGCGGGGTACTGATGGAGCTTGCCCTCCAGCCCCAGGCCCTGTGAGTTCAGAATCCCAGTTCTGAAGACCCAGCCCCACAAGCTGCCTAGCTCTCTCAGAACCTCAAGTTCCCCATCTGTAAAATGGGCATAACAGATGAGTCCAGTTCAGGACCTCCATAAATGTTACTACTAATCATAGCCATCGTGCTCAGCTCGTAACAACAGTAAGGACTGTTTGAAAGTTTTATTAGCAGGCATAACTTTCATAGTTTGAAAAAATCCAATAAAGACTTTTTTAAAAAAGAAGCAGGAAGAGAATCGCAAAATAATAATAATGATAAGGATCGGCAGGTCTTCAATAAAGACCTGAAAAAGGGAGCGCTCCCTAGGAGGAAGAGAACTACACAGGCAAGGGTAAGGGGGTGGGAACACCTGGACAGGTGCAAGGACCATGCAGGAACCCAGGTTCCCACCTGACCCTGGTGGGCTCCCTTGGCATAATCTTCCACCTCTGCGAGAGCCCAGAACCAGTTGCTGGGCCCTCTTGTGCCCCTTTGCCAGCATATCCTGCAGAATTAGGAGGTAAGCTCATCCCACTCAGAAGCAGGGCCCGACACACAGACACGTGCAGAGTCTTCAAATGGCCCCGAGGTGAATACAGGTAAATAAACCCTCCATTTACAGGTGTATAAACCAAGGTCCAGAAAGATTAATGGCTCACGAAAGGTCATCTCACGCATCAGTCAACAAAAGCGCCTGAGCACCTA